TCTCTTCTCCCCATCTTCATCTTCTTCCCCCGACTTGAAACACCACCACCCCACAAAACAAAAAAAAAAAAAAAAAAAATTCCAATTTGTCTTCCCCCTACACCCACCCTCAGTTTGTCTTCCCCCCTCCTCACCCCCTCTTCTCCTTCCTGCAACCCAAAAAAAAAAAAAAAACCCAGATCCCATCGGCGGGAAGATGGGTGCGCGAAGAAGGTGGATGATGGGTGCGGAAGAGGATGTGGAGAATAGATGAGAGTGGTGGATTTGGGGTTGGCAGGGGGTTGAGTTTGGGGGGGAGGAGGGAAAGGGGGCGAACTGAGTTCGCTTTGGATTTGTTTTTTTTTTTCTTTTTCTTCTCGTTCTTCTTCTTTCTGGGTTGCAGGAGGGACGAACTGGGTTGGGTTGGGTTGGGTTTTTTTTTTTCTTCTTCTTCTTCCTCCTTCTTCTTCTTTCTGGGTTGAAAGGGGTTGTTGGGCGGGGTTGGGGGTGGAACTGGGTTGGGTTGGATTTTTTTTTATATTCTTCCTCTTCTTCTTCTTCCTTATTCTCCTTTTTTTTCCTCTTCTTCTTCTTCATCTTCTTCCTCCTCCTCCTTCTTCCTTTGGGGGGGGGGGGGAAAGGGGAGGAAGGGACGAATGAGGGATTTTTTTAATTTTTTTACCTTTCTTTATTATTTTAAAAAATATTAAATAATTTTTTTTAATTTTTAATAGGGCTGGGTTCAAAAAACCGAAAACCGAAAAAAACCGAAAACCAAACTGAACCGAGGCCGAAAAAACCGAATCGAAAAAAAAACCGAACCGAAAGGGTAAAACCGGACCGAACCGAATATGGTTCAGTTCGATTCGGTTTCTGAGGTTTGAAAACAGGACCGGACCGGACCGAACCGAAATAAATTAATAATTTTTTTTTATCTTCAACGGCGTTGTTTTAGGCTAGCACTCTCTCTGAGAAACCATAAACACTCCACCGGTTCAGAGAGAAACCCTATACAATCGTCTTTACCTCAGTGTTCAGTTGTTTCAGAGAGAAACCCCGCCGGCCTTCCCTTTCCCTTATCCTCCTCTGGAGCAGCAGCACTCTCACTCTTCACTGTGACCTGATGCAGTGCTGCGACCTCACACATCGACGCCGTCTGCACAGTCTGCACTTCTTTTACTTCTACAGGTTCTTCTATAAAATGTACATGTATAGGATCGAACCGTCGCCGCACAACCATTGCACCGTCACTGCATTGCTTGCTGCCTTGCATCCCGACTGCCTTTCCTTGCAATCCTGTGTTGCTGGTGACTGAAATCACGCATGCTGCTTGCTGAACTTGGTGCTCAAACTTTGAAGCCTTCGTAGTGTGCCAAGTACACTTTATGCAGATTCCAATATATATAATATGCCTTCTCCTGGGGCCGCATGCATGCATTCATATATATATATATATATATAATATAATATAATAAAAGTGTGCCAAGTACACTATATGCAGATTCCAATATATATAATATGCCTTCTCCTGAGGCCGCATGCATGCATTCATATATATATATAATATAAGACTTCTCCAGATTCCATTTCTTTTTTTAATAATTTTGGAGGGAGAAAAAAAAAAAAAAAAAACCGAAACCGAACCGAAAAAAACCGAACCGAAAAAAAACCGAACCGAAAAAAACCGAAAAAAAATTGAACCGAACCGAACTGAACCGAAATTTTGGTTCGGTTTCGGTTTTGAGAAAAAACCGAACCGATTAGAACCGAAACCAGCCCTAGTTTTTAATAATCTTTTTATTAATTTTTTAATAGAAAGTGGGTTCCGAATCAAGTCACGTCAGCATTTAACTAAAAAGTAAACGGCCAAGTAACAGAATATATAACATTGGACCAAATTCTAAAGATGAGGTATGAAATTGTCGTGACAACAATAGTTGAGGTAGTTTTTTGTACTTTACCCTATTTTATTTATTTATAAAATAATACAAAATAATTTTATTTATAATTTCGGATAAGATTTTTAATTGTTCTCGTTGCGCCACGTGCCATTATCCGAAAAGTTATAAAATAATACAAAATAATTTTATTTGTAATTTCAGATAAGATTTTTAATCGTTCTCGTTGCTCCACTTGTCATAAAATCCGAAAAGACAATTATTAGTGATGGATTTCCGATAAGAATTTTAATCGTACTCATTGCGCCACGTGTCATTATCCAAAAATACGATTATTGGTGATGGATTTCCGATAAGATTATTAACCAATCACATCGTGCCACGTGTCATAATCGGTTTACAATATTTGAGGATATATTTTCATCAAATTTTTAACGAATGACGGCATGCCACAATACATTATCAACAACCAAATCCTTTCTGAATCCTCCATATAATCCACCATCCATTCTCACAAATCTCATACGAATTTTCTCAACATGTCTATCATTATTCATAGTTTCTGCTTCATTCTTCACCAAAATCTCTATCATTATTCATAGTTTCTGCTTCTTTCTTACAATGTCTTCTTCTTCCTCAAGGATGATGTGGGAAATCGATCAACAAGAGGAAAAATTGTTTAACCAATTCTTTGTCAGTAGCAATTAAATACGGAATATGGATATGATCATCGTACGGACATATATTCATATTTAGCACCTCTTTTCAATATTTCTCCATTTTTTGCTGCTATGTACGAGGTCTTATACGGTAAACACAAGGTTTATGTGTGAGTCCTATCGTTTCGTTTTTCTACAATAAAACAAGACACCCACTAAGAAGAGACTCGTACTAACTATAACATTAACATGGTATACTGAATGCTATTAGTATTGACAAATTAGATTGGATTAGGTACGGTGATGGAGTAAGAAAGTATAAAACTCACCTATTCGGAGCACCAACCATCATATAAACATGTTTTCCAAAGATCAACGAGTTTATGTTCCAAGCAGAATAGCAGATGAAACCTTCATCCTAGACTAGCCCATTGTTGATATCGTAGGGGCCAATTCTATAATGGCAGTTCACGGAAAGTCTCATACTAGAGTTACAAGCTATGTTGTAAGCGTAATTAATCATCCCGACACTCTCGGTCATATAAGCCAACTTGTCCAATCCATGGTGGCTGCACTTGAGTCATGTGGGCTCAAAATTGAGAAGGGTAAAGTCAAAGCATATGATGAAGCCAAGAAGGTAAATTAATTATCAAAACAATAAGTGATGAAGGAAATTTGAAATTCTATTCTAAAATCAGTATCTTTTTTTTTTTTTTTTTGAACATAACCAAAACCAATATCGTTGTATAGGAAAATGTATTTGTTTTGTAGTGGGTACTACGTAAGTGACACGTAAAACAAATAAAATATGGTTAGATTTGATTTTAATAAAATTATTTGGTTGAGATTGTATGGCCTGTGTTTAATCTCAACAACACAATTTCATTAAAGTCAATCCAATAGTCAAGAGGGTGTCCCCATTTTCTTTGAAAAATGGGGATCCTCTTGTTAAATGGCCTGTTGTAACATTCCACATTGACTAACGGAGAGGGGGTGATCTGTCTTATATGTACATGCCCACCTCCATATAGCACCTGGCATTTTGGGAACTCACTGACTTCGGGTTCCATCGGAATTCTAAAGTTAAGCGAGTTCTCGCAAGAGTAATCCCATGATGGGTGACCTACTGGGAAGTTCTCGTGTGAGTTCCTAAAAACAAAGCCGTGAGGACATGGCTGAGACCTAAAACGGACAATATCGTGTTACGGCATAACCGGACTGAGATGTGATACCTGTGCTTATATATATACATATATATGTGTAGATCATTAAAAATCAATTATAACAAGAAAAAAAAGGCTAATAAGACACATTTCAGATTATCAATTAATATTAGTATCAATCATAACAAAGGGAAAAAGCTAATAAGACACGTTCTAGATTATCAGTTAGCCCAGACGGGTGAAGTGTATTTTTGCTCACCTCTTAAAATGTGGATGATGTTTACACCTCATTGATTATCGTTAGATTAATTTAAATTTTAAAATTGTGTTTTAAATCAATCGGGACCTAAAACGGACAATATCGTGTTACGGCAGAATCAGACTGAGATGTGATACCTGTGCTTATATATATACATATATATGTGTAGATCATTCAAAATCAATTATAACAAGAAAAAAAATGGCTAATAAGACACATTTCAGATTATCAATTAATATTAGTATCATCATAACAAAAGGAAAAAGCTAATAAGACATGTTCTAGATTAGCCCAGACGGGTGAAGTGTATTTTTGCTCACCTCTTAAAATGTGGATGATGCTTACACCTCATTGATTATCGTTAGATTAATTTAAATTTTAAAATTGTGTTTTAAATCAATTAAATCAAACTATTCAAACGACAATCAATGCAGTGAATATCACCCCACTTTAGGAGATGAGCAAAATTGCACTCACGACGGGTGTAAGTGATCCTTCCTATTTAGCACATAAGGTGACCAACTAAAGGATAAGGAGTAATATCATCACTCTTTAGATTTCTTTAATTCGAAGACTAGAAATTAATAAAGGTATGTAAAAGAAGAAAAAAGTGTGAAAATTATTTCCTAAAATATAAATTTAGCCCAATATTTTGGCACAAGCTTTAATTGTGTAATCTCATTGGAGAGGAGAGTATTAACAATAACTTTTGAAGGATGTAATTGAATACATATTATTGAGAAAATTGTAGCAATGGTTCCTCAATTTTAACCCAATTGGAGAAGTGGCCCCTTAACTAAAAATTCATGATCATTGGTCCCTTAACTCATGAAAACGTGCAGCTATATATGGTCATTTTCATCAACTCTGTCAGAATTCTATCAAAATGAGTCATGTCGGAAGAACCATTACTACAAAGCCTACACTAGGACTAAATAATGGTTGTATGAGATATTTTCTCATTGTATGTGGGTATATGAAATTGTCAGCATGCTAATCCTGGTGATGCGAGTAATCAACTCGGAATCTATGACAACTCGACTATAAAGCCCAGAGGGACTTTGGCTTTGGCTTAATTATCATATTTGTTGGGACACAGCATGACTATTTCTATGGGAGAGTGGGTGACCTTGGTTTTGGGAGGTTTTCCATTGTTGGGGTTGCTATTGTGGTGGTGGAATGAGCTTTGGTATGTGCTTCCTCTCAAACTACGACAGTCGCCTACCGGCGCTAAATTGCCGCCCGGCCACATGGGACTTCCATTCTTGGGTGAAATCTTCACCTTCCTTTGGTACTTCAAAATTGTTCGTCGTCCTGACGACTTTATCAATGCTAAGCGGGCTAAGTACGATTCCATTTCTTTTTTGTTCTAAATATGCATGTATGCTAACTAGTAACATTAACATTTGGAAAAGGAAAAAAAACTGGTAACATTAACATGGGAGTATTAAGTGCAATATATATTGATGAGTATTGACAAATGATTTATTTCCATTCTTTATATGTATGCTAACTAGCATCAACATGATAGGATTAAATGTTTGAGAATAAATTAAAAACTATTTTATGCTCTTGTACTTCTGGATATTTTGTCATAAGATTTTGATCATTATATATTAGGGTATGAATCTAACAACTACAAACTTCAAAGTATGTGATATCTCGAAAGCCGGAGCATATATTGTAGTTTTGACAAATGAAACTAGTTCAGGTACGGTGATGGAGTCGGAATGTATAGAACTCACCTCTTTGGATCACCGACCATCATAGCATGCTTCCCGGGAATCAACAAATTTGTGTTCCAATCAGATGAAACCTTCATCCTAGACTGGCCCAATGTTGATATTGTAGGTGCTAGTTCTATAGTGGCAGTTCATGGAAAGTCTCATACAAAACTTAGAAGCTATGTTGTAAGCGTAATTAACCGTCCTGACGCTCTCCATCGCATAAGCCAACTTGTCCAACCTCGTATGGTGGCCGCGTTGGAGTCATGGGCTCTGAAGGGTAGAGTCAGAGGATATGATGAAGCCACGAAGGTAAATTAACTATCAAAACAATAAAGCAATAAGTGCTAGTCATGCAGGTGTAATATTTTATCAGAAAATATCTCAGTGCAATTAAAAGTGTAATCATTCAATATGAATTATATTTTATTCTATCGGATTCTCGGTGCAAGACTTTTTGATATCTTCAACAATTTTTCATGTTTCATTATGTTTACAGGTCACATTTGAAAATATTGGGAAACTATTCGTAAGTTTGGAGCCGGGGCCTCTGCTTGATACCATTGATAACTTGTTTACCGGATTAGTCACTGGAATTAGGGCTCATCCACTGAACATTCCCGGATCGGCTTACCGCTATGCCCTTCAGGTTTGAATCTTAATGGGTTTTGGTATAACAACTCCACTGATTTTTCAATATATATTCAGACCATATTGTAAATAACGTGCATGCATGCTAAATATATGAATGCGAATTTGCAGTGTAGAAAAAAGCTTGAGGACATTTTCAGGGTGGAGCTAGAGAAGAAAAAAACTCTAAAGGAAGGGGTGACAAATGATCTAATGGATGGGCTTATGCAGATTAAAGACGATGAAGGCAATAAATTAAATGACCAAGAGGTTCTAGATAACATTGTCAGCCTTGTTGTCGCTGGATATGCATCTACTTCACTATCAACAATGTGGTCTTTATATTATCTCGCAAAATACCCTGACGTCCTCCAAAAGCTCCGCGTATGATCATAGCATATCACCATAGTCTCATAATTTTACTCCAAAAAAGAAATATTCATGTTCTTTAATTATGTTTCATCTTAACGCGGTTCTCGTGATCTGTGATCATAGGAAGAGAATATGGCTATACATGAGAGCAAGAGTACTGGGGAGTTTATCACGTATGAAGATGTTTTAAAAATGAAATACACAAACAAGGTACTTCATCTGTATGCATTTTGGGATTTACCATTTGTTATATATTGATGCAATGAGCTTATAGCTTAATTTACTGTAGTACTGCTTCCGATGTTCTGATCCACCCTCCTACTAACGTTTGTAGAAAAGAGAAAAGTCATTCATTATAGTATCGTTATGCATCTCTCGCGATACTCCTTGTAAAAAAGAATTAATCTCAAGCCAAAATTTTCATATAATGATATACAGGTGGTGGAAGAAACAATAAGATTGGCCAACATTGCAGCATTTGTTTTCCGATTGGCTACTAAGGAAGTTGAGTATAAGGGTAAAAAAAAAATGTAAATTATATATGTTTTTAATTACCATCGGCACACATAATTTTTTTGTGTGTTTACAACCAAATTGGTTGGTGTAGGTTATAAAATACCCAAGGATTGGAGAGTGATTGTTTGGGTTCGATATCTCCACACAAATTCAGAGAATTTTGATGATCCCATGTGCTTCAACCCAGATAGATGGAATGTAAGTCAATATTTCTAACACGATAAATTAATTGGAGATAATTTACAAATTAATTAATGGGCGTTATTTCACTCCTTCAGGAACCAGCCAAGCCAGGAACATACCAAGTTTTTGGTGGTGGATCGAGAATATGTGCAGGAAACTTGCTTGTCAAGACACAACTTGCAGTATTTTTACATCATTTGTCTGTAGGGTACAAGTAAGAAAACTTAATTTGTAGCTTGCTTTAAATCTTATATGCTATTGAATCCTTAACACAGTATAGACACCAGTCCTGAATTTTATGGTGATTGAAATTTTTTAGGTGGAAATTGGTCAATCCAGATGCTGAAATGATTTATCTTCCACATCCATCACCAGTTGATAAGGTTGATATCACGTTCAACAAAATTTAGAAATCCATTTTGTCATAGCCTGATCCATACGTATGGCTTGACATCTCACCGTTCTATTTTCCCAAGTCGTAGGCCTGCTTTGAACTTCAAAAATAGAAAAAACTAAAGAAAAGGAACTAGGATTATTTCTATGTATCTTTTTGGTTGTGAATCATGTAATGTATGTGTTTTCTAATTCTTATGCTCCAACGTTTATTTACTAAATAATGATTTGGAACTCTTTTTTTTTTTTTTCCTCTCTCTATCAATATAATTGAGTACATCTAGCCTGGTGTTCATATAGGTTTGTTGCGTGGAAAGAGGAGTTATATTCTACGATTGGGTGTGTATTAATGAACTAGGGTTAAGGTTGAATTGTCGTAAGTGACACGCAGAACAAAATAAAATATGGTTAAAAACGATCTTAAGCGCATAAAACAGTCTTCCTAAATGAGCTTCTAGCTAAAATTTGGAAAGAAATTAAAAAAACTTGTCTCCAATCATAGTTCCAATTCTGCTCTTAAGATAATAAATATTCAGAGGGCTCCTAAATATGGGAAGGAAGAAAAGAGCTCCTAAAAGAAAAGTTTTAGTTTAAATTTGATTTGAAAATTACATACATGATTGAAGATGCTCAAGAGACGCATATGATGGTTTATCTTTACCTTTTGTCTTCAAGGCTGGTTTACATAAAGATAGAGGTTACTCGATCAATACTGAATTTGCTTGAGGCCACCGATGGAAGCTAATCAACATTTCATTAAATAAAACAAACATTACAAAAGTCCAAGAGCATATACAGATGCTTACAGGGGAGCAAAATATTGTTTCCTGCTAAACAAAATTAACTTTATTATTTGTTTGTTTAACCTTTTCAAACCGACCAAATGTTTATAATATAAAGATAAATGTTAAGGAGACTCTCTTAAAATGAGACTTATGTGCTAATATTAAAAATATTGTGCAAAATATGAGATGACTCGTCTATAGAGTCGCTATTTTAAGAGGATCTCCTCAGCATTCTCTAATATAAATGTAGAGATCAGAGAAGAATTAATTATAACAAAAAAGCTAATAAGACACATTAGATTATCAATTAGCTAAGAACGGTGAAGTGTGTTTTCGCTCACTCCCTAAAGTGGGGGTGATCCTCATCCCCTGTTGATTGCAATTAAAAATTAATTTAAATTTCAAATTTCGTGTCATGAATCAATTAAACCAAACCAATTAAACGGTAATCAATGAAGAGGTGAGCATCACCCCCCACTTTAGAGAATGATTTGAGCTTACCCTACCCACCATATAATTTCTAGCTTCGCCATTGAATCTAACAAATATTTAGAACTGATTCAGAGAGAAAGATAGAGAGATCCCATCGAAAGAGAGATGAGAAGTAAATGGAAGGTGGAGTCAAATTCAGAGATGTTAAAGTGTCGCATCTGAAAATTGGGAAGGGGTTGAGATTTAGCTGTTGTTGGCTTAATTTGAACAGATTGGACTTGGCGGTACAGATCGAACACATTTGAACACAGTAAATCGAGAATCCAAGAGATGAACGTGATGTCTGAAATGAATCGATCTGACCCGCAACAGATACGCGATGCACAGTGGCTGACCACAAATCTAATTTAACCCACAATGCGGGACCGGCTTTATCCGCCGGATTGTCGACGTCTTCTTGTCCCGTTATATCTGCTTTACCAGCAAGCGGTGGTTTGTTCCTCAATTTTTTCAAATTTTGAATTTGTTGTTGAATTTGGAGTGGTGGTTTAGAAAAACACACAAAGGAGGGTGGGCTGGGGTTGCAGGGTGGAGATAGAGAAGAAAAAAAAACCTAAAGGAAGGGGTGACAAATGATCTAATGGATGAGCTTATGCAGATTAAAGACGACGACGGCAATAAATTAAGTGACCAAAAGGTTCTAGGCAACATTGTCAGCCTTGTTATCGCTGGATATGCATCTACTTCTCTATCAATAATGTGGACTTTATATTATCTCGCAAAATACCCTGACGTCCTCCAAAAGCTTCGCGTATGATCATAGCATATCACCATCTCTCATAATTTGACTCGGGAAAAAGAAACATTCAAGCAGTTTTCGTGATCTGTAATTGCACGAAGAGGATATGGCTATACACAAGAACTATTACGGGTACAAGTCAGCAATACAGTTAGAAATATACTTAGCAAGTTTGTTAGTATTTGGTTAGAGTTGTGTAATCTTTATTCTTTCAGTTAATACAAATCATATTTCTCTCTCTAAACTCTCTCTCTCTCTCTCTCTAAGATCTCTGTGTTCATCCTTCTGTTCATTGTTCCTTCTTGATTTTCTCTTCAGTTCCCAAACATTTCAATGTAGTTAACAAGAACAAGACCGGGGAGTTTATCACATATGCAGATGTTTCAAAAATGAAATATTCAAACAAGGTACTTTATCTGTATGCATTGAGGGATTTACCATTTATTATATAATATTGATGCAATGAGCTTATAGCTTAATTCACTGTAGTGCTGCATCTGATGTTCTGATTCCCCCTTCTCATAACGTTTGTATAAAAGAGAAAAGTCATAGTGTCGTTATGCATCTCCCGCGATACTCCTTGTAACAAAGAATTAATCTCAAGCCAAGGCTATTGCACTTCATATAATGATAAACAGGTGGTGGAAGAAACAATAAGATTGGCCAACGTTGCAGCATTTGTTTTCCGATTGGCTACTAAGGAAGTTGAGTATAAAGGTAAAAAAATGTAAATTATGTTTTTAATTACCATCGGCACACATAATTTTTTCTGTGTTTCTAACCAAATTGATTGGTGTAGGTTATAATATACCCAAGGATTGGAGAGTGATTGTTTGGGTTCGATATCTCCACACAAATTCAGAGAATTTTGATGATCCCATGTGCTTCAACCCAGATAGATGGAACGTAAGTCAATATTCTAACACGATGAATTAATTGAAGATAATTTACTAATTAATTAATGGGTGTAATTTCATTCCTTCAGGAACCAGCTAAGCCCGGAACATACCAAGTTTTTGGTGGTGGATCGAGAATATTTACAGGAAACTTGCTTGTCAAAATACAACTTGCTGTATTTTTACATTATTTGTCTATAGGATACAATTAAGTAAGGAAACTCAATTTGTAGCTTTACTATTTACTTTTTATGCTATTAAATGTTAACACACTATAGACATAATTCTTGAATTTTAGTGTGATTGAAATTTTTTAGGTGGAAATTGATCAATCCAGATGCTGAGATGATTCATCTTTCACATCCATCACCAGTCAATAAGGTTGACGTCATGTTCAAGAATATTTAGAAATCCATTTTCTCATGAATGAGGATGCTCTCCGGATCCTCTTTGTGAGGATCATGAAGATTCTCAAATCGTGTTCGTTCATCGTATATCGTATGGTTAGAAATCATTGTAAATACTTTTATTTAAAATTAAACATGAATAGTACTTGACGAAAATTGACTGCACGATGTACGATGAACGAACACAATTTGAGAATCGCCGGAATCTTCACAAAGAGCATCTGGAGAGGGCCTCATTCTTTTCTCATACCCTCATCCATATATATTGTTTGACATCTCGCACCGTTCTGATAGTCAACTAAAAGTGAAATCACTCAACATAAATTATATTTTATTTTATCAGGTTTTCGGTGTGAGACTTTTTACTATCTTCAACAAATTTCATGTTTCGTCTATGTTTACAGGTAACATTTGAAAATATTGGAAAACTATTCTTAAGTTTGGAGACGGGGCCTCTCCTTGATACCATGGATAACTTGTTTACTGGATTAGTCGCTGGATTGAGGGCTCAACCACTGAACATTCCCGGATCGGCTTACCGCCATGCTCTTCAGGTTTGAATCTTAAATGGTTTTGGTATAATAGCTCCAGTCATTTTTTTTGTTGGTAAAAAATCCACTGATTAAGTAACATATAATTTCAATATATATTCAGTAACGTGCATGCATGCTAAATATATGAATGTAAATTTGCAGTGTAGGAAAAAGCTGATGGACATTTTATGGGTGGAGCTAGAGAAGAAAAAAAAATCCTAAAGGAAGGGGGGACAAGTGATCTGATGGATGGGCTTATGGAGATTAAAGACGATGAAGGCAATAAATTAAGTGACCAAGAGGTTCTGGATAACATTGTCAGCTTTGTTATCGCTGGATATATAACTACTGCTGTATCAATAATGTGGACTCTATATTATCTTGCAAAATACCCTAATATCACCGAAAGCTTCGGGTATGATCATAGCATATCACCATATTCTAATAATTTGACTCGAAAAGAGAAACATTTATGTTCATTAATTATGTTTCATCTTGACGAGGTTCTCATGATGTGTAACTACAGGAAGAGAATATGGCTATACATTAGAACAAAACTGGGGAGTTTATCACATATGAAGATGTTTCAAAAATGGAATACACAAACAAGGTACTTGATCTGTATGGATGCTCAATTTACCATTTATTATATAATTGATGCAATGAGCTTAATTCATAGTAATACTACATCCGATGTTCCGTTTCCCCCTCCTAATAACGCTTGTATAAAAGAGAAATATCATTCATTACTATCGTTATGCATCTCCTGCGATACTTCTTGTAACAAGAATTAATCTCAAGCCAAAACTATTGCACTTCATGTAATGATATACAGGTGGTGAAAGAAACAATAAGACTGGCCAACATTTCAGCATTTTCTTTCCGATTGGCTACTAATGAAGCCGAGCATCAAGGTAAAAGAAAAATGTGAATTACGTTTTTAAATACCATAGGCTCATATAAAAACCTTTGCGTTTATAACCAAGTTGGTTATTCTTATAGGTTATAGAATACCCAAGGATTGGAGAGTGATTGTCTGGACTTGATATCTCCACACAAATTCAGAGAATTTTGATGATCCCATGTGCTTCAACCCAGATAGATGGAATGCAAGTCTCAACATTTCTAGTAAGGTAAATTGATTAAATATAAATTGCTAATTAATGAGTGTAATTTTACTTTTTCAGAAACCAGCTAAGCCTGGAACGTATCGAGTTTTTGGTGGTGGATCAAGATTTTGTGCTGGAAACTTGCTGGTCAAGATGCAACTTGCAGTATTTTTACATCATTTGTCTATAGGATACAAGTAAGGAAACACATTTGTCGCTTAACTATATATTAGATAAATGCTTTTAATTTGTTTTTGGACAAATTTATATGCTTTTTAATTTTAAATATATATGCAGTATACCTAGTTTTATTGTGACTGAAAATTTGTAGGTGGAAATTGGTCAATCCAGATGCTGAGATGATATATCTTCCACATCCATCAAGAGTTGATAAGGTTGATATCATGTTTAGTAAAATTTAGAAATCCATTTTCCCACAGAAATCTTTTTCCTTTTGGTTGTGGATCATGTAATGTAATTAAATTATGGGTGAGTTTGTATTAAATCAATAAAAAGTTATAATACTTATAGGGGTGTGATATCCACACACTATTTTTTACTTCTCACACACCCTTTTAATTTTCGACCGTCAGATCGAATGAATTAAAGAATATCAAGGGATAGAAATCAACAAGGGGTGTGTAAAAAGTAAAAAGGGTGTGTTGGTTAATCATTCGATCTGACGGTCGAAAATTAAAAAGGTGTGTGAGAAGTAAAAATGGGTGTGTGGGTTAATCATGTATTGTGATACTTAAGTGCATATTTAAAATTAAAAAAAATTACATAATTTGCAATTATAGCTAGCACCCACTACAACTTACATCTCTTTTCTCATATTTTTTTTTCTTTTATATTCTGGAATAGGTCTATCTGAATTCAAATGGTGTAATGCAATGTCCATTTTCTGTATCTATATTTTAGATTTGAATTCAGATGCTATGGTGCAGTGTCTATTTTCTAATTCAGTTTTATGTTTGGATTTAGACACTAGAATGCAGTGTCTATTCCTAATTCTACTTTTTATATAAGTGTTGACTTAAGGGCAGGGTGTGGAGCCAAAAATAATCAAGAGGCGACACATGAATTTTTGGATGAAAATGACAAAATTACCCTCGAGGCACATCAGGATTTCTACGCTCGAGCAACGGAAAATCATCCCTCAATCAAGTCAAAAAATGCCCAAAATAGGTATTTATTTATAACCTATTTTATCCATCCTCATCAAATCTTCTCCACAAGGTAACCCCCAGATCATTCCTTTTTTTATTATATTAATTAGCTAATGAATTGATTTATTATCCAATTAATTTGCTAATTAACCACAAATCATGAACTTCACCCACAAAGCCATCCAAGTGGCCGGTCCATCTCCACCCAAAGGGGTTGGCCACACCCCTATATAAACACCCTCATTCTCTCCAAAACTCAATTCGAATTCTCTTTCTAAATTCTCCAAACACTTGTTCCCTCAAAATTCTAATTTAGGCATTGGAGGTTCTTTGGCAAAAGCACCCCCCCAACCCAAAATTCATCGTGGGCATGTGAGACTCTTGACCTTAAATTAAGGTGTTATTTGTTTTGTAGGAAGAAATTTGTATCCACACAGGGTATGTAGGAATGAAAATTAAAAATACTTGTTTATATCATACAAAAATGAAAGGTTACCTTAGGTCTCATAGTAATTAAATGGTTTAAATCAAAAGTGATTTTTTGTTAGGTTTTACCTAAGGAAAGGGATCTTCTCCGGATCTCTTCCTCTTAATCCAACAAATTAGGAAATCTGTGACGTTGAAATTTGATCCAACGGCTGAAGTTGTTATAACTTTTAAAGTGGGCCCCTGTTTGTAGCCGTTGGATCAAATTTCAACGGCATGGATTCCCTGATTTGGTGGATTAGGAGGAAGGGATCCTTTCCGGATCCTTTTCCTTTACCTAAACCTGTTTAAAAAAAATGGGTTTAAATCTAATTGCTTATTGCCACTTAGTACTATGATCTAATAGTATTCTTCTTCACTTGTAAGTGAGAGGTCTGCTTCGACTTTGGCCAAAGGCAAATTTGAACCACATTGTTGCTAGTCCATTGTGAAACTTAACCCATTCCCCCACCCCTATAGTTAGATAATATCGCTTCAAAAAAAAAAATCTAATTGTCTATTTAAATCTTGATAATTAATTATGATTCAAATTTGTTAACCCGTTAACTTAACCAATTAAATATGAATTTAAGTTGATCCAATTCGATAGTATCTTACATAACGATTTGGGCCGAGACAGGTTTACCAAGGACCATGGTTCTCGGCCCATTAAAAAACCTTCAGGCTAGCAGGTTTCGGCCCACGAATACGATCAGTTCAAAATGAGTTCTCATGGTAGTAGGACTGTGAAAAGATTAAGTATAAGGTGACTCGGTTGAGTCCTATACAAATGCCTTACCTATAAATAGAGAAGGCTTTGCAACAAGAAAAATCCCTTTAACTCACAAACAATTCAAATGCTTTACATGAAAACCCTAACTCTACGCAAAACCCTTCTCACAATTTTTTAAGAAAAATACTAACTATCCTAACCTTCCCGTCAACACATCTTCAGTTTGGACTAATAACATTGTGTTGACAACCAGCAACATCTTTAGTTTGGACTAATAACGTTGGAGCTGTAGAATCAAGCGATCAAGAGCATCTTCAGTTTGGACTGGCCTCTAGTTGGTTGGTTGTCTATCTAACTCTCGGCAGGTGAAGAGTTTTTACTTTTTCAATGAAAGGGGACATTTCGTTAGCTTGCGGGCGAAGTGGAGTGTTCTATGATTGATTACTCTTAGGTGTATTTAATTTGCAGTTCAACATTTAGACTGCTGGACCACGTTTACCATAAGAACACTTATCTTGTTTGAGTACCTGTGTTACTATAGAGTACAAAAGTCAGCAGCTTATTCGACACACCATGAAATGTATTATGCTCGTCCGA